AGTTTCGCATTTAACTTTAAATCTGTTCATAAAGCTAGTCCTTCTGCATTTATTATTGAAGTTAGTTGTCAATATGTTAATTCAACATAAAGAATTATTCCAGTATATTTTTCTCTTAATCTATTCTCACTCTTTTTTATATTAATTTTGGTAGTCCTGCTGCAAATCTCTCTTTCTAGAAAGCTGATGAATTATCTTGTCTTTGTAATACTTTGGTCATAATTATGTCTATATGCCATCTAAAGTTTTGTAGAATAAAGCAAGTAAGATTAGACAATTATTCTGAAACTCTTTCTATATCTACATCTGGTTCATTGTATTTACTATTGTTAATGTCTAATTACTATAATGAATATATAAGTAATTATATGATAAGCTTATAATTATAATTTATTCATTAATCATTACAACTATAATGAATTTATAGAATTATAAGTTATTATATGGTAAATTTATAAGTTATCATTTATCCATTAGTTACTACAGAGTTATTATTATTAATTTCTAATTATTATAATTAATTTATAACATTATAAGTTACTACACAATAAAATATAATAATAAGTCATTATGATAACTTCTAATAATATAAATCAATTATAAGAATTTCAAATTAGTAATAATAAATGTTCGTAGCAAAATAAATGTTATATTGAAAGATAAGAATATTCTAATAGAATTAGTAGGTAAAATAGAAGATCCAAAATTACAAATAAAATATTTATTAGAGATTTATTAGCAAAAAAAGAATTGACTATAATAAAAAATGAAAAAAAAATATGGCTTAAAAGAAGTATTAGAAAAAATTTTAAAAGAAAAGAAAAATGATAATATAATTACATAAGATTTATAGGAAGAAATTAAAAAATGAAAATAAAATTATAAAAATATAGTATTTTGTGAAAATGAAAAATCTAGCAAAGGAAAAGAAAAATTAGAAATAAATTCAAAATTGAGAATAATGATAATAAGTCCAAAAAACTTAGTGAATATTTAAGTGTAACAGAAAAATAAAAACTTAAAAATGAATTATTAGAATAAAATTAAAAGTAAATAATTCATACACTCTAGATGTTATATAAATAGTTTGTCTTGTTTTTTCACATTTGTCATGTTGCTTGCTTGTCTTTTCTTTTCAATAGCCCTTATTCCCATTGTATTTGTCACTTCAATAATAGTCTGCACATAGCCTCTATTCCCCCTCCCCTCAACTTTTGACATTACTACTTTTGCAATTATTCTTCTTCGGCCAGTTATGGCATGCCAAAAATCATATCAGTTATCTTGTTCAAACTGATCATAGTCTTTAATTATTTTTGCCTAAGGAAAGATCTTTAAAAAAAGTTGATTCTAAAGCATTGAATAAATATTCTTTACCATTTTTTATATTTTTAACTAAATAACAAGAAAAATATAACATATGATTTTCATTGTAAAATAAGTAATAAAACAAAGATAGGTGGGTTGCCCCTCTTTGCATGTGTCTAATGACCTCAAAAGCAAAAATACATATCTCAACAGGACCATCTCACTTAAACATTTGGGGAGTTTTAATTTTACTTAAAATTTGTCTATTTATCACTTGGAATAACTTAACATGAAGGGGCCATTCGCTTGTCTTTATAGGAGAAGGTATGATAGGATAATTTTACCTTACCTGTATAGTAATTTTATCCGTTCGAGAAGAGTAAGGATAATATTGTGTAAAATAATGATAAGATAGGGTAAGTTTATCTTATCCTGTAATTATTTGGCAGAGTGAACAACCCCTAATTTGTTTTATTAATACTAAATTTAAGTATATCAGGTAATTTCTATGAACAATTATCTAGGAGAGGTCATTATCTTGGAAACTGTCTTCTTTCTTTTATAAAAACTAAACGTATATCATACTTTGTCAATTAGCCATTTGAGCTAGAGAAATGTTAAAACTAGTAATAATTCAAATTAAAAAGAAGGTTGCACTAAGCACTTAAAGTGTTCAAAATCTCATATCAAATATGAACAAATGGAAAGATTAAAATATAAGTAGTGACATTGCATATATCAACAAATTGGTTTTTTTAGATGAAAAGAAGTAATAATAACTTTGTAATACTTAACTCAAAATAAGAGTCCAGGGCCATATATACACTTTTTGCTAAATTACATAAATATTATAGTGCAATAATTTTAAAACAATTTCTTTTTTAGCAAAAGAAAATATTTATCTACCCTAGAGTGGAACCAATTGAAAATGCAAAAGAAACATGCATGGATGCTTTAATCTGCCCATGAGAGGTCCAAGTTTTGGGGCTAATGCAAATGAAAAACAAAATTTTCTTCTCTGAAGTACAAAATTAAAAAAAAAGTTCATTTTGCCCCTTTTTTACTGTGAACTGGTATTCTAGTCCAAGTAAATTAAAAAAATATTTGAGAATTCTACTGAATTCAAATACCCACATCAAGCAATTACACAGAAAATAAAATTCTTAAATAGGCGCTATGGAATTTACCAATTTACCCATAATATGGCATCACTTTCTTTAGGGAAATAAAAGCGGAGTCACTATCCTTTAAGAAAAGGCATTTTAGATATTTATGGAAAAATATTAACTGACTTAAGCATTTTTCATTTCTTTTATTAACAAAAATTAACACCAGGAGGCATTAATTCAGCACCAGTAGTATATTGGAAGGTCAATGAAATGTATCCAAATAAAAAGAAAGAAAAAAAGTTGGGTGTAAATCAAATTAGTTAGGGGACCAAGGACCAATATACAAATTAGCTAACTTAGAGGGTAGAATAATGTGAGTCGAAGTGGGTATGTACTCCTCCGTAATTCATGAAAAAGGTTAGATGAGTCATGACTCAATAATCTCACACCCACCCCCCCTCCCCACCCCCCCCAAAAAAAAAAAAGAAAAAAAGAAAGAAAAAAACTAGCCTTTTTTCTTCAACACAATTGGGTTCTACATGTCACCCCCCAAAAACCCAAAGTAAATAATAAATAGAGAGACATCACTTATTTCTCATGTAATTATTGATTTTTTATGAATAATTAAAATATGTTATTTTCTTTCCATCAAATTTCTAACCAACCAAAATTGAAAAATAAATAAATTTTGCTTGTTATACTTTATTTTTTGCCCCCCCCCCTTCAATGTCTTGATTCTTTTCTTAATTTTCCCCTCTTCTTCATTTTATTTTATTTAATACTTCTTTTTTTTTTTTAACAAACAGGGCCTTGATCCAAACATACAAATGACATCATGCTGAATTGATATGTCAAATGTTGATTGAGGAATATTATATGGATTCATTTATGTCAAGTAGGCCTTGTTTGGTGTTACTCTAATTGTGGTTATTTAAACTTCAATTTTTGGCAGATAAGAGCTTTTACCTTAATCAAATCAACTATAAAATTCTAATAATTACACACACACACACACACACATATATGTATGTCCATAAATATATGTGTGTATATACACATATGTGGTGTCTATACATGCATACACATACACGTGTATATATCTATATATACATACATGTGTACATGTATATGTGTATATATACATGTATACATATATGTATATATACATAGACATTCATGTATATACATACATATATACACACATGTGTATATAAATACATGTATACACGTGTGTCTACACAAATATACATACACGTGTGTCTATGCAACTATACATACACACGTGTGTATACACACACATATACATATATACATATATGTATATATACATATACATTATTATGTTTTTATTATAAATCAATGAGCTTAATTAAAAATATGAATTTTGGATTTAATTGAAGAAAATCAAAGTTCCGGGAATTGAGGGCCTTAATTGAAGAAATTTAATGTTATTGCCTTTACTCACTAGGCTTAAACTAAAAAAATGAAATTTGGGCTTAATTGCACAAATTTAAAATTCTGAAAGATTAGGGGTTTAATTGAAAAAATTAAATGTTATTACTATATGTCAATGGTTTAATAAACATATGAAATTTGGACTTAATTGAAAAAATTAAAAGTTATTAATCTTGTTTTAATGTTAATTTTGTTAAAGTTTTAATTTTAAAACAATTTCTTATTCTTTTTATTTTGTTAATATTAGAAAATTATTTCAAAATAAAATTATACTAAAAAAGTTACCGACGCAACCATTTCATACCAATGAAGCCATTACATTCGTGATTTTATTTTAAAATCTTACTTTTGGGACACATATTGATGCAAGCATTGTGTCGGTAAGGAACAAAAAAATTTGTTTTAAATTACCAATGCAAACATTTGCTTTGGTAAATTTTCTTACCAAAGTTCCGTTGGTAAGTATTTTAATGAATATTTTATACATATCCACATATTTTTATCAAAAATTGCATCAATAATTTTCATATTTATTTTTTTAATAGATTTACCAACGTAGATTATGCAATGGTAAAGTAAAAAAAAAAATTAAATTTATTACTAGTGAAACCTTTGCATCGATAAATGTTACCGACACAGGATTTTGCATCAATAAATTTTGCTGACAAATATTGCGTCAGTAATTTCGACAATATCTGATAGTTTGCTCCCCTTTTTTGCATAATGGTATGTTTTATGAAATTTTGACAAATATTGTTAGAAATTGGGTTGGTAAATTGACATAAGTTTGTGCGTCACAAAATTTGCACTTTTCTTTTAGTGTATATAATAGTATCAAAAAACTAAATCTTGTCATACATAAATAAGAATAATTGTTACAATTAGCATATAGCAGTTCACAATCAAGTAAGCTAAATTTCTCTATAAAATTTTCTGTGACCATGATAAAAAATATTATAGACTACTGTAACATCAATAAAAAATATCAAAATTCATAACTGATACTAAATATCCAAAATCTCATTAAGTCCTATTCTTATTTACCATTTTTTATTTGATTTAATGTTATTTAGTGGTAGATTAACAGTATTAGTATACAAAAGAATAAATAATGCATTATATAGTTTAATGGGTAAATAGGATGGAGAATAAAGTTTAAGGAAATTAAATAATTTTCACTCTTTCTTTTAATTTAGGATGGTCAACGACGCACTTTTTCCTTACTAAACACACTAGTGCATTGCTTGTCAAGGGATTTCGCCCCATTCATGTCAGCCCATCCAAGTGAGTTTACCATGAGGATGCAAGTGGATAGGGATATCTAGTGACTCCCCTAGGAGGCTTATTTACATGTCGCAATCCTATGGATCATATTATCTCCCTTTGGGATTTTGCTATAAATATATGATTTAAACCTTACCTTTGGACAGCAAAAGTGTCATCCTTCTGTAGGATGGATACAACACAAGCTTTAGAAACTATCATGGAAGGTGAAGAAAGGATGGGCAAGGAGTACGAGGAGTTAGTGTTGTCTCTTCCATGTGTTAAGTTCTGGTACCACGCCCTCTACAAATATTAAGGCTATTGGATTTCATCTAGACACTTGAAGGGTATGATCTCCTTTCGAAAACACTTCAATGCTCAAGACTCTAATATCATTTTAAGCACTTTTCCAAAATTTGGTACTACATAGTTGAAAGCTCTTGTGTATACAATTCTTAACCGTTCTCACTATGCCCCTAGTAGTGCCACTCACCCTCTCCTTACTTGTAATTCTCACAGCCTTGTTCCTTTCTTTGAGATCCAAATTTATGGTGATAAAAATGAAAATCCTAATCTAGAAAACCTACCTAATCCAAGAACTTTTGCTACTCATCTTCCATTCTCACTATTGCCATCAAGCATCTCATATTCCAATTGCTGCATTGTATATATATGTCGAAATCCTTTGGATCAGGTTATCTCTTATTGGTATTTTCTTACAAATCTAAGTTCAAAGTATGAGGAGACAAATTCGATGAAGGAAGCAGTCAAGATGTCTCAAGAAGGAATATGTGAGTATGGACCATTTTGGGACCATGTTTTAGAGTATTGGAATAAGAGATTGAAGAACAAAGATAGGATTTTCTTTCTTGAGTATGAAGATTTGAAAGAAGATTTTACAAGTCAATCTATTAAGCTAGTAGATTTCTTGGGATTATCGTTTTCTGAGGAAGAAAAAAAGAGAGGAGTGATAGAAGATATATCAAAGTTGTGTAGTTTCAAAAATTTGAAAGAACTGGATGTGAACAAAGGTGAAGGCATTGTAGTAGGAATACCAAACAGTGCATTTTTTAGGAAAGGGGAGGTGGGAGACTGGGTTAATCATCTAAGCCCAGCAATGGTAGAAAAAATAAAGAAGCTCGTGGAAGAAAAATTCAAGGATTCTGGTGTTACTTTTAAAATGATTTCAGAGGTGAAAAAGGATTGGTGAGAGTAAGTTAAATCTTTGGTAGTTGTATTTTTTTCAAGAAATGTCTCGTGGTCTTCATCGTTGTTGTTAGTGTTATTATTATTATTGTTATTGTTGTTATTATTGTTACTATCATTGCTGCATTGGAAATATAAAGATTTCATGTGATTTGGAAATAATTGCTTTTCATTAGATGTTTTGTATTCAATATTGCACATGGCTGTATATTAAAAATCTCATGCTATTTTTGAAAGTGACTGGTGCATGTATTTTGTGTTTTTTCAGAGGTGATGAAGATATTGATGTGAAAGCAATTGCACATGATGTGGTTTGAACAAAAATGTATTTTTAGTTTTACAAATTTAATATATTCACAATTGATAATATGTTGCGTGTGTTGCATGTGCACAATTTTAATTGTTGTCCTTTCCTTGTTCTCAAGTGGCAGCTTTTCTTTTTTGGCAATAAATCTCATTATGTTTCTCTTTCTTACATCTAAAAATTATGATGAAACATACATTGAGTTAAATGTTTTATTTGGGTACAATTTTAGATTGCCAAACCAACTGATCACTCAACCAAATGCCAAGATCCATTACAACCTCTACCTCTTTCTCTCTCCCCCTCTCCCTCCTCTCTCTCTCCCTATCCCCACAAACAAAGCTACAATATATATAAATATGTGTGTGTGTGTGTGTGTGTGTGTGTATAAGACTAAAGATTAACACACACCAAGCATCCATATTTAATTTGATTTCCATAAATTTGAGAAAATCTAAATCTACCTCTTTTATCTTTGAAATTTAATAGAATACCTATCCCAATCATGACTCATACTTGAAATAAAATAAAAGAGCAACATAATTATTTTAGTGGTTCTACTAGTTAAGCTAATCAAAGTAAATGTCTTCACGGGAAATTGATGCTTTCGAGATAAAAATTCTAGAGTATAAAAAAATCTCTTTCTTTCATTTCCTTTTCTCTAAAAGATTGAATTGAATTCCAACAAAAATATAACTCCGATGTGGGCACATTTTTGTTTCTTTCTTGATATTTTTTGAAAAATATATAAGGAAGTGGACACATTGTATTGAATGAAGGAGTACATAAAATAAAGAAACATAACACAACAAAACAAGTAGAGCAATCATTCATTAAACAAAATAATATTTAACAATACAAATACTAGAACTTGAATTGCACACACATGTTTTCTAGGCACTTTCCAAAAGATAAGAGATTTAAAATGAGACAAAAGCAAGAAATTATCTTGTACGCTTCTTCCTTCATTTGCTGCAGCCTTGGAAGGCTCATGCAGGTGGTCCATAATCAGCCGATTATCCACGAAGATCTTCACATCTTGGATGGCTCATGTAGATGGTGAATAAGCAGCTAATCGATAAAACTCATGTTTTAGCAGTATGCATAGTTATCTTTCTTCGAAGTCAATCTTTGTAAACCTTGAAATGATTTTAACTTGCTGTCTTTCAAAATACTTTTCATTCTTTTCAATGGATTTCAGAACCATTTGACGCAGTTTGTTGACTAAAGATAACTTCATTCTTATGTAGACAAATGCTCCAGCAAAGTAGTTCAAAATGACTCAAACACATCCTATCTAGAAAGGCTTTGCAGAAGGGATTACTTTCCTCTAAATGAGCTCCTTTCCAACATGAATGCCATTTGTGAGGACTGTCTATATAAAAGATGTTATCCCACTTACAAATAGCTTTCTTTATTGGCCTGTTTCCCACTAATCTACCAAAAGTACGTTGGTTTGCAAGATGGTGCAATCATTTTATTAGAAATTTTCTATTTTGGATCACCGTTAATTATTTTAACTTTATCGAGATTAGATTTGCTTGCGTAATTCAAATTTGTAGATATATACGATAAATCCAATGAAGATAATGCAATAATGATTTTATAGGTTGTAAGCATCCATGTGAGATACTATGGTTAAGCAAAACAACATAGATAAACATTAATCAAAATGTGTAGCTAAAGAGTCAATCATATTTCTTTCCTTATTTTAAGTATTATATTTGATTTATTTGATATTAGCTTTAATAATAATAGTGTGATGATCCAACCCGTTTTGGGTTTAAGTTTTTATTAAGTTTATTATGTTTGGATGAGTTCAAAAATTATTTTTGGAGGAATTTCAAAGGGTTTTAGATGTTGGGGAGTATGTTAGAGAGTTTAGGAAAAACTTATGTTTTGTTAAAAAAAAAAAAAAAAAAAAAGAAAAGAAGTTATTTTATCCAAAATTTTGGAATTTTAAGCCCTCAAAGGATTCGTAGACCATTTTAAACTCCTAGAATTTTTAGACAAATACTTTTTGTGACATCCTAAGGTAACCATAATTGAACGAAAAATTTTTGAGGACAAAAATTAAGATGTTTTGTAGCAAGGGCATTGTGGTCTTTAGCCTCTTAAGTGACTTGTGTTAAAACATTTCAGCCCCCTTTTAGCCTCATTTATGCCATTCCCGCACAAACCCTAGGAGAGAGAGAGAGAGAGTGAAGAGAAAGTGGAAGAAAATGGGGAAATCTTCATAAAAGGTAAGGGTTCTACCTCATATTGAGTTTAAGCTTTAAAATCCTTGTACATCTAGCATGTTTGCACCTTCGTAGAGCTTTTAATCGGTGTAGATTTTTGTTTTGATGTTGGATATGTGTTGTAGAGAGAGGGAGGCGGGTTTACCCCACCCATAGAAATTTTTGCATGATTTTGGTGATTAAACTAGAATAGCTTGAGATTATTGCCTTGTATGGAGTAAAACTATGTTTATAGAAGATTTTTGGTGGTTTAAATCTTGTTTTGGATTACTGAAATTTAGAGAGAGAAAGATGGGTTTGCTGAAATTTAGAGAGAGAAAGGTTGGGTTGCTGAAATTTAGAGAGATAAATGATGGGTTTGCTGAAATTTAGAGAGAGAAAGGATGGGTTTGTTGATGGAGTAGAGGGAGAGAGGTTAAGGGCATGTTTAGGTGGAACCCAAAAGTTAAGAGAGGATAAGGGCTTGTGTTTTATATAACCTAAGACTTAGGCATACTTTTGGATTGCATAAATATGATATTTTCTTATGTATTTGTGTATCCCACGTGTAGGGGAAGAAAATAGAGTTGAGCCAGATCCTGAGATTATAGCTTATGGACCACGCGCGTAGACCATCTACCTCAGTGAGTGGCATGTCTCCTAAACTTGGCATTTTAAATTCTATATATGCTTTTCATGAAAATATGAGCTGCTTATGAAACCATTCGAGTACGAATTTTTTAGAAATCATGGAAACAGAGTGCTATTTTATGCTTTACGTATATGTAAATTTTATATGCTTTCATAAGATTTTAGTGCTTCGACACTTAAACTAGATTGCCGGACAACCATCTGGGGCAAGTGGTAGTCCTACGTATATGATGTTAGACTCAGTGGGGTCTTAGAGCACCACAAACTATGTCAATCTGGCCTGGAGTGGTGACCCATGGCACAGGCTGCACAGTGTAGTAGCGTCCGACATATTTGAATGTTTTGCATTTTTCATATGTTTTACTACCCTCAGAGCTCTTAGTTGTGCACACCGAAAATGTGTTAAATGATTTATGACTCATGCATGAAAATGTGTTAAATGCAAAGTTTTTGGATAGCTTTCCATATGTCGTTTATGTTAAATCATGAGTATGATTATAATGCTCCCAAGGAGAAAACCTTTATTACGGATGATTCTTGGTTATGCTTTGATTGCCATAGATCTTTTTTTTCTTAATGGATTTTTATGCTATATTATGAAACACTATCTGTTTCCCATGTTTAGTACATGTGCCATTCACTGAGAATTTATTTCTCACCCCCTTTATTTCTTCAGTTCCAGGTATACCTTGTTGGTACCCCACCCTCAATACTGCACGTGCGATCACAGTTCACTAGATGAGGCGGCCAGTTTATTTGTTTAATTTTTTTGTTGAGGGTGCTTGTTTTAGTAATTAGGACTTTTGTAGTAATATTTCTTGTATTGATAGCTTTAAGATCTCTTTTGGCATGGTTAAACTTATGGGAGATGATTTATGATGTATATCTTTGGCTTATGATAGATGTTGATCATAGTACCATACTTATGTTTGCTTGGGAGATTTGGCCTTGTGGCATTTTGTGGTGATGGTAAAGATGTAGTCATATGTTTTGTATGTGATAGCTTGAGCTTGGGATTGTTGTGTTGTTTCGGAGATGTTGCTTTTGGTAGCTATGTTGTAGTAGTTTGAGATATTACATGGTTTGGATGGAATGTTTTTGCTACAGGTTGGGTTATGTTGGAGGGGTTTGACTGCTGGCATGCTGCCGAATTTTCGTTCGGTGGGTGTTGGCTATTGCCCTGGCTGCTGCACCCTGCCGGGTTTCTAGTTGGGCGGGGTGTGTTAGCTTAAGTGGTATCAAAGTGAGTGTTAAGAATCTAGATTCATGCATAGTATTTGATTAAATGCAAATATTCTAATGTTCAGGATTTGTGATTTTGTTGAATTATGGAGCGTGCTAAGAGAGGTAGAGGTAGGGGTAGGGGTAGGCCGAGGAGAGAATAAATTGCTGGCCAGCCTCCTAGGGATGACACAAGCACAGCCGCGTCGACAGCATCGGGGGAGGGAGGTCCCTCACTACCACATGCCAGTGCCCCGGGAGACCTACCTTCTATGAGAACTACTCCACCACCACCACTAGTGACCACCACACATGTTCCTCCCATACCACCAGTGAACCCAGCACCGCCACCAACTCCTCTAGTTACACCGGAGCTAATGACTTTAATAGTTCAAGCCGTAGGTGCAGTCATGACATCTAGTTCTACTACTCAGAGGCCCAGATCGGATGAGGAGAAGATTATAGAGAGGGCCAGGAAGTTAGGGGCAACTGAGTTCCATGGGACCACGAATCCATTGCAGGCAGAAGGGTGGATTCAAGAGATTGAGCGGATTTTTGATTTGATGCATTGCCTCATTGACCAGCGAGTGCAGAATGCTACTTTCCTTTTTAGGGGTAGAGCTCTACAGTGGTGGAAGTCATTTAAGGCTAGGTAGCCAGTAGGGACAGTTGTTAGTTGGACTGAGTTTAAGATCGCATTTGATGAGCAATATTTTCCATCGATTTACCAAGACCAGAAGCACAGTGAGTTCTTGGATTTGAAGCAAATGAGCATGATAATAGCCAACTATGAGGCCAAGTTTACTAAGTTGTCACAATTTGCATAGAAGTTTGTAGAGGAAGAGCAAGACAAGTGTAGATTGTTTGAGTGTGAGCTGA